ATTTTTATTAAACTGGGAAAATGCTTCTCTCTAAACTTTGTTGGAAATAATGTCTTTCTTTAAATGTTTTGTTCCAGTTGTATCTTCCGGTGACCATCATAAGTGGGTGGTTCAGAATGAGTTGCAATATGTGCCAGACTTAATGCTGTGAAGTCAAAACATTTGACTAAGCAAGACTAATTAAAAAATGTACAGCATTTTGCTGCTGCGTCATGTGTTTCTAGATCTTACAGCACAGTCGTTGTGCTTGGTGTGCAGGTTTTTTCACTCTGGATGGTCAGCCCAAGAGTATGAGCTGCCCATCCACCGGTCTGCCAGAGGAGGAGCTGACCCACATCGGACAAGTGGCGTCATCAGTACCCGTGGAGGACTTCACAATTCATGGAGGTGCGCTAGACCTAAAAAATAGTACATAAATATGCACACATTTCATGCATTCTTTTACTATAATACTTGTCTTCCCTTCACGTACAGGTCTGATTCGTATTCTGAAGGGCCGTGGTGACATGATCAAGAACAGGACAGTGGACTGGGCCCTGGGAGAGTACATGGCCTTTGGCTCTCTACTCAAGGAGGGCATCCATGTGCGTCTCAGTGGCCAAGATGTGGAAAGAGGAACCTTCAGGTATAAACGATAACATTGAACATTTGAACCAAATAACAAAATAATCATCATGTAGTTATGAATCTAAATCTAGTTGGGTAGTAACATCTACACACTTCTGTTTCATAGACCATTTTTGTTAAGAGGTCACTGACCAGTTGTTTGTTCCATTTGCAGTCACCGTCACCATGTTCTCCATGATCAGAACGTAGACAAGAGGATCTGCATTCCCATGAACCACGTATCCCCTAACCAAGCCCCGTACACCGTCTGCAACAGCTCTCTGTCTGAGTACGGAGTACTAGGTATTCAGACGCTCGCAGTACTTGTTAAAATGATCTGAAAGGTAGAGGACTCTCAAGGAAACTCATGTTTTCTTTCATTCTGTGTGGCTTTCTTTAGGTTTTGAGTTGGGCTTTGCTATGGCCAGTCCCGATGCTTTGGTTCTGTGGGAGGCCCAGTTTGGAGACTTCCATAACACAGCTCAGTGTATAATAGACCAGTTCATCTGCCCTGGCCAAGCTAAATGGGTCCGCCAGAACGGCATTGTCTTACTGCTGCCACATGGCATGGAGGGCATGGTAAGGCTATTATTACCCACAATTCATACCACTTTTCTCTCTCTACTGCACTCATCCTTGTGAGCTGGCTGTAGATGAGTTGATTTGGTTTTATTTTGTTCTTTCACAGGGTCCCGAGCACTCTTCTGCCCGTCCAGAGCGCTTCCTGCAGATGTGCAATGATGACCCTGACTTTAACCCTGTAAGACTGTCTTCTAACGTCTCTAAATGTTAATACTGTCTTGATATTAACAAAGATTTCATAGTCTGAATATATCAATACGACTGTTATTTTGGCTGCAGAAAGTCACTGATGACTTTGAGGTGCGTCAGCTGTATGACTGCAACTGGATTGTCGTAAACTGTTCAAATCCCGCCAGCTATTTCCATGTAATAAGGAGGCAGATCCTACTTCCCTTCAGAAAACCTGTGAGTTCAGCTGTCTGAGAGCATCTGGATGTTCATTGATTCATTAAATGCATTACTGGTACTTAAAAGAACAATTAGAATTTTTAATTCATTTATTCATTTTCTTGTTTTTAGCTTATTGTCTTCACCCCCAAATCTCTGCTGCGTCACCCGGAGGCCAAGTCTAACTTTGACCAGATGCTACCAGGTCAGAAACGGTTTGTTTCTTGCTGTTTTAAAGGGAATTTATTAAACAACTGTACCACTTTAAAACACTATATTGCTGGGATAGCACTGTGGCATCAGCATGGCTATTTAAAAAAAATCAATTATAAGACTTCAAACATCATGTCAACATTACATGAGGGTTTTAAAGCTGCAGGCTTTGGGAGAATGTGAAACAAATTTAAAATAAGAAATGCAAGAGCTTTGGAAATCAACTCTGTGATGAAAGTGTGATTGTATGAGCTAAATGGGAAATCTGATAGATGGGTTGATTTAAATTTAAAAAACGGCAAATCTGAAGAAAAGCTTTTAGTAGTGGTTGACCACTATAGATTTTTTTTTTTTTTTTATGTCTGATGTTGATATCTTAGAGAGCAGGGTTGCTAATGGCCAACAGAAAGGTGGTATAAATTATATCATACTATTAAATGATAGTAAATAACACCGTGCTTAATTTCTGCAATTAAATGTATTTATTTTAAATAATATTTAAAAATAAATAAATTTAAATATATTATTATTAGTTTAATTTTTTAAAAATTACCTGTAAAATTAGATTTATACTTTTGGTTTTATAATTCTATTAGAGTATCTTTCATAAGAAGTTAAAACAGATAAATAAAAAGGAAGTAAATAATGTAACCAACAGTACACTGAAAAGTCTTAAGTTTGTGTGCACTGGGAATTATATTGTATGAAATAAATACCAGTTAACACTAATTCAACATGCAAATAAACAATACTATCTGTGTGTATCTCTCCAGGCACTCATTTCCAGCGTGTGATCCCAGATGATGGACCGGTAACTCAAAGCCCCTCAGAGGTCAAGCGCATCGTCTTCTGTACAGGAAAGGTCTATTACGAGCTCACACGTGAACGCAAAACACGCAACATGGAGGACTCTGTGGCCATCACTCGCATTGAGCAGGTATCACCGTCTTCAGTAGAACATCAGCAATGCTTTCTTGTGTGATGATCTGATTCTCCCTCTCGCTCCTCCCCAGCTCTCTCCTTTTCCGTTTGACCTGGTGAAGGCTGAGACTGAGAAATATCCCAATGCTGACCTGGTCTGGTGTCAAGAGGAGCATAAGAACCAGGGATACTACGACTACGTAAAGCCCCGCATGCGCACCACCATCGACCGTGCCAAGCCTGTCTGGTAAACTCTCGTCTTCTCCTGTAGAGCCGTGACACTCCAGGTGCTCTGTATTTTGACCAGTCCTCACCCTGTCCTTCTGTGTGCAGGTATGCCGGCCGTGAGCCTGCCGCCGCCCCGGCCACAGGAAACAAGAACACCCATCTTCTGGAGCTGAAGCGTTTCCTCGACACTGCCTTCAACCTGGACGCCTTCAAAGACCACGTCTAAACCTGTCCTTCAGTCCACAAAGAAAACGATAACTCACAAACACCCCATTCACCCAGCAACCAAATACACTAAGAATAGCGATACAGTTTATCCAATGTGTTCAGGTTTGCAAAACACACTCTCTGTCCTAGACTCACTCACTCTCCTGCATGAATTCACTATTTTTTTTGTTAATATTGTTCATTTCAAGCCTTCGTCACCATTGTTGCCCAGTTCAACAACACCAAATGATGATAAACCGCAGGAAATTCAGATTCTCTTGGTTAAGTATGACAGCACAAATGTTGATTTGAATAGACCTAATGTATTTTCAACCAAAGCACAGCTCCAGTCCTGTTACAGATGCAGCGATCACGTCTGTTGCCTCCAAACTCTCGATTAAGAGATTTTTCCTTAAACTTTCAAAAGTAGGGTTGTTGGTATCCACACTCTCAACGGCTATATGGCTTTAATTTGTATGTTTGTTTTCTCTTTTGTTTTTCTTCATTGATAATTGTGGGCTAAGTTCAGAATAAGAGAGAATTTTGGCACATACATTTGCCTGGATAGTGGGCTGGATTGTAAAGTAAGTGGTAAAAATGACACTTTATCTGTACCTTTGCACTGTTTTCTGGTAAGAAGAAAAAACTGTTGGTTCTCTGAAGTGGATGTTGCAGTTGTATGATTGTATTTGTAAAAATGGCTTCGTATTCAGAGGAGGAAAGGCTTGGCGTTAAAATCAGGACTGTGGAAATTTTTTGTGGCACCTTTACATGTATGTGCCTCTGTTCTGGTTCCAAATCATTGTCTGTCGATGGCATTGTATAGTCTGTACGCTCTGCTAATCATTGATGCAGCCTGGTGCAGATAAACCCCCTTCAGAACTCCAGTCCTCCTTTGCCATCTGATAACGTGTGCCATACAGCCCAACCCAGCAGCAGGAACATTTAATATGGCAAGCAAGACAGAATTACACCTGTTTGTGGTCGCTCTTTTAGATAGAAACCAATGACATCCTTTTGGCTTTTTCAAAGAGAGAGAGCAAATGATTTTATTTATTTTGGTTTTTGGAGGAATCAGATTCTGTCCTCGTAACGGTTTAGCTTCATACAATAAACTCATTATCTTCTCAAATGTTGGAAGTTGTTCATTTATTAGTTTAAGAAGCTGCATTGTCTGATTATGCAAAATGGCATGCGATTTTTGAGGACACAGCCTGTGCTAGTAGGGTACATCTTGCAAACAAAGTGATTTTAAATTAAGTTATATTCAAATAACCTAACTTGATTAAAATGCATAGGTTTAATCAACATGTAAACCTTTATTGCATTGCACCATTTAATTATTTTGACGTTCTATTTTATTGAAAAAGTTATTGAAAATTCTGCAATCACAAATGTATGCAAATGAAAAAATGTCTTACAGCAGAACATTTCGTGGGAACTATAACATCTTATATGAGGAGCCTTTAAATATTGTGTGGAACAGTTAGGGCCTTAAAAAAAAAAGTTTGAGCACTGAACTAGATCCTTTTCACTGAATGCATGAAGTGCAGACCAAGCAATGAGATATTTTTTGCATTTCAGTACTAAAATCAATTACTAACATGTGTACTCGGATAAAATAACACTCAATCTCAAATAGGAGATGCTCTTACAGGCCACATATCCTTAGTATTCCTTTTAAAGTATCACAAGCCGCCTTCTCTCCGCGTTTCCTAAAAGCGCGTGTCGCGGCCACATTCTGAATGCAGCTCTTTCATTGGTTCACGTTTGTGTCACTCAAAGCATCGAAACGCTCTTATTGGACAGATGCGGCTTCATGAAGTCCCTCTCCGGTAATTATATAGTTTGGCGGCCTGGCCTTCATCCGGTCTTTCCTCCGTTCCAAGGCAGCCACGCGCTTCGGCCCAGCATCAGCTAAACCTAAAAAACTAAAGCCATGGCAAGGCCCAGAGTTTTCTTCGACATCACCGCCAACGGCAATCCAGTTGGAAGAGTGATAATGGAGGTAAAACATTTTTTATTTTTTTTAACCTTTTTCTTATTGCAAGAAAAGACCAATTTTCCACTCTCTGGAGTGCGAGTTTGTGCGCGCCTTTGTAATAACACTTGCAAACGCCTTTCTTCTTTGCGCTATGTGTGCTGCACAACTTCTTTGCATTTCTGCTAACGGTAGACCAATCCTGTCATTGCGTTACGCTTAACCTGGTTGTGCAATTAACTGGCAAACCAAAGTAACGTTAGGACCTTTAACCGAACCGTGTTACGCTCCCGGCCCAAACAACAATTCCGTAGCTATTTAAGCCCGCGTGCAGTTTGTGGCGTTGTGAAGTGTTGGGAGTCTGACAGGACGGTTTCAATACTAGTTTATCGATAATAAGACCATATATTATTGTTCATTTCCGTGGCGTTGAGTTGTTTATTTGCATAAAACTGCTGTTATTTCGGTGTTAGCAAAAGATGCTCCGCAAGTGAAGCTGTAATAAGCAGCTCGCGTCGCACTAGGCCGCGTTAACTGGTGCTTCACCTAAAGCATTAAAGAGTCTTGCCAACAAAGTGTACTGGCAGAATCTGTTTCTCATACGAAGAGTATCAGAACAAAGACTGGGAGGTTGGTTTGGGAAGGGCTATGCAGAAACATGTCCTGCAGGAATGGGCCGGCCCGCTGCTCCTTTGTTTAACCCGGATGCCCTGAAGGCGACTTTATTTTGCTCAGGCCAAACTTCAGATTCACGCTCCACTGAGACGCAAGCGATCGCGACAGAAACGGTTCGGGGTTTTAATGTTTGGTTATTAAAAGTCGCACATTGCCAGTCCCAGGGAAGCACATCTCG